AGCAAGTCCGTTTACACCAAACCACTCTCAGGAGTGCAGGCTTGCACACCCACACAGTATCAAGTGACCAGCGTTATTACTGAACAAGACACACTAACCAACCACAAACATGCACACACAACTTCACTCAGCACATGCAACCCACAGCACACATCGCTGGCTAACCCAGCGAGCACCGAATTGATCACTTTACATTGTGTGACCCTACCTCAGGCACAGTACAGTTGTATTTGGCTGGCAGGCTGTTGATTTTCCCCAGCCAACCCACAGTTTGTTTCTTAGCTACCAGCCTTTTTTGCAGTTAACTGCTCAGGAAGCTAACATTTCAGGTTGGAAATCTTCTAATTTTTATTATTATTATTTATGTCTATGAGTTGTGCCCACAACACTGCAAAGTGTATTTTATTACTCTGCATACGCATATTCATTAGGGGTTTTAGAAGACAGGTCATAAATTAAAGCTAGCAAGCAAAATACAGTTCTCATGACGTCAGAACCCTAGGCTTTTCATGCTGGAGACTTATTCTCATACGGTGTAGTGAATTAGTTCACCTCCTCCCAGGTGCTAGCAAACACTTGGCTACATGGAGAAAGCCTTGCCAGACCTGCAGTCTGGTTCTGAAGACCTTTACAGCTAGGAACAGGAAGGCAGTCTATGGCCACAGCAGAAAAGCAACAGAAGCCAGGGCAGTGGCAGCACTGGGCCAGCGCTGCCTTTGCCCTCAGCAAGCACACGCGTGCTTTCACTGCCAAAGCCAGGAGCTTCCAGGCACAGATGCCAGTCTGAGGGATGGACTTCTGGGAACAGACTTAAGTTTACTTTTAGAGTCAGAATCCTGATTTAGACAACAGGGCACAAACAGATTGCCACGACCAGCGTCAGCCAACCCAGACATCAGGTTAACTTGCTGTGTACCCAACACAACAGGCTACATCAATGGGTTTTCCTGAGAAGGGCAGGTCAGCAGAGCTCCTTACCTGTGTCACCACTGCTGGCTGGTGGAAGATCATCAAAGAGGAAAGAGCCTCCTTTGTCTGGAGCACAAGAAAAAAGCAAGAAGAACTAAGCGCCTTTATCCCTTTGAGGGAATAATTTTCTGTGTGTGCCCCTCCTGAGGTGTAGAAATTATAAAATGCCCGTCTACCAAAGCCAGCCAAATTTGAACTTCTGTTACCAGATGGTGGGGGCAGACTCAGGCCTTACATTTGTTTTAGGAGTATTTATACGGAACATATTATGGAATATCTGTGGAACACCTGTAACATTCTGGTTTTCAAAAAAAAACCACAAGAGGGAAGCAAATGCTCTGCACGCTGGTGCTGACAACCCAACTGTCTTTATCCTGCCTAACAAAGAAAAAGGTTCATATAAGTTTCACCTCAAGAGATGCTGATGCAGAAAACATGGGAAGCCCAAACTAATGGCAGGAACGGAGCACCCATACCTGAGTCAGCACTGCCGGCTGGTGGGAGATCGTCAAAGAGCAGAGGCCTTCTCTGGGCTTCCTTCCCTGTAAGACAGCAGGGCAGAGTCAGCACCCACTGCAGACACCGAGGGGCTGGTTTCTGGAAGGCCTGTCCCCCAGGCAAGCACAGGTGGGGTAACTGAGGAGAGCCTTGGCTACCTTTCCTTCATCTCTAATTTAGGCAGGTCCTTATATCAGCAACACAAACCCCTGCCTGGGAATGACGTGAACTTTTATTTCAAAAACAGGTTTTGGGGTTTTTGCTTGTTAGGAAACCACTCCACTCGCATTCACATCCCTCAGCAGCCCGATCAAGATGTTATAGCATGGGTGGAGCCCAGAAAGCACCAAATTATTTGAGGTAACACCAACACAGCTCTCCACAGACCCATCACCCGCAGCAGCACAGAAAGGGGAAAGGCTCCAGCACGGCCTAAACCGCACGGGTAACACTGCAGCTGAACGACCCCGAGGGAAGAAGGAAAACACACAACCCCCCCCC